TCTTCAGCTTGTATATAAAGAGCAGTCATATAAAATTTATGTTTCATGTTTCTAACAGTTCAAGCCATATCCGTCATTAATTCTAAATTGGTTATAGTGATCTAGCTATATTTGAGGAATAGTTTCGACATTTATTCATCTTCTACACTGGCTTGATGATTTCTTCTTTATGTTTAATTATGTTAGGTATATTTAATTTGCATTGTGTGATTGACTTTTATCCATACTTGAGGGTAGGAGTTTGACCTACATGTCTAATGCCACGTAGGATGTAAATGTTTACTAAGTTTGAGTTATAAATACAGCCGTAATTTCTGACCGTGTAATTTTCTGGAACAAATTGGGTTTACAGTTTGATGGAAATTCCATTAAGATGACAGAGTAATGGGGATCTATGTTTATAACTTAGAATTTTCTGGAAATAAACTTTTGACCGACATCCTGGTTCTCAGTTATGTCTTAGGTTTTACGATTGATTATATTTGAATTACTCGTTCCTACCTTAAAATCCGAAGTGAAATCGGACTTATTTTTGTATATGAAGTGATTTATAAAATGGTTCAATTATACAATAGAACTGAAAAGTGTTCTTTGAGTTTTGGACTAAATCACTATCTTTGAATTATTGTGAATTCATTCAAGGGCATTAAAGATTATATAATTATGAAACATCCAAGCTGTTGGCACAATGGCACATTTGAGGCTACTGGCACATCAACAAATTCAAATTTTGAATTCATTTTAAACACTACTGGAATTCATTTGGAATAATCGATACTTTTGGATTCGTTATAGAATTATTTGAGATTTTATTTAGAATACTGTAAGTTAATTTTAAATGTTAACCTTGTATTATAGGGAAATATATTATTTGTTAAAGTTTATAAAACTATTTGGTTTTCGCTCTTATCTCTATCTTTGATTCGATAAAAATAGTAGGTTTTTTTGTAATACAGGCCACTGGTCCATGACACATATCCATACATCATGCGGTACAAACAGATGTTTTTGTGCGTAACAAACGAACATCATACCTATTTTAAGTTATACATTAAATTAACCATTATTTCGCCATATTTATCTGGTGTCTTTATGTAGGAGGAATCGATGATAAAACGGTTTTACTAATCTTTGAGGCTTTTATAGTAAACTAAATTAGTCATCATAATTTTTTGCTATTTTCTTCCTTACTACCGAAACATAGGACAAGCAGTAATGAAATTGAATACATTCTCGATGGCAACAATGAAAGTTTGGGACAATCTTTCATTATAAAAATTATTTCCACACTTTCATGTGTTACCTCTGATTGGTAAGTTCTCCACTCTAAGCATTATGGTTATATAACAAATCTCTCCAAACAATTCTAGACATCTTTGACAAGTCAATTCCACTCCCAATGAACTATAGAAACGTAGTCGTTCCATCGACTTAATCTAACCTTGCAGCTTTTGCCAAAACATCTTCACATCTCTGGCTGAGCAATCTATAAAATATAATTTCATCATTTACTCTCTGATTACATAAAAAATCGAGAAATTCCAAGTGTAAATAGAAGATTTTTTTACATTGTTAGCCTAGCAATCACAATCCCAACCCTCATCTTAACTGTAATTTGTATCATTTGTTTACGATCTCTGTCGTTTGGCCTTTTTGGATTTCTTAGCCAATATTTCAATCTTCGTTTAATCTTATACTCTGTATACTAATTGTTTCTAATTAGTTACATACGAATGCATTTGGAGTATATTTAGATGAACCAAGTATACATTAACAAGATGATATATGAACTTTTTCAACATCAATTGCATCGTACAACCTCCAAACCTGATAGATAAAAATTCGAATTAGTAATTCTTCAGGTAAAAAAGACGAAGCAATCAAATTACGGGTAATCTGCCAGATTTTGAACGATTGTTTCAATATGTGACTAGCCATCATCGTCAATAGTTTTGGAAGAATATCCGCATCAAAATAAGTATTATATGATTCAGCTTTTACCTCGGTGTGTCCGTAATAGCACTTTTCGTAACTTGTGAGATAACCACCTCTGCAAAATACAACCGCTCTTGCTTTTCCATATTCAGTTTTAATTTCCACTTATGCAATATTTGTGGAGCCTATTGTGTATGCTTTTTAACTGTAAAGCAATGTCAGAAAAGGCAATTAAATCGTCTGCATGCAACAGCAGGTATAATTCCGCGGATTCTACCGACACTCCCCAGTTTCCTTCAGCTAAAATGGGTCCCCAATTTATTGAATATAATATGAATATAGTATCTACTGTAGAATAACCACCTTTAAATCCGGTTTGCTCTTCGTGTAGTACTTCGTTTTCCTCCACTAATTATTTATCCTATTGTTTAAAATCTATGTAAACACTTTGCTTAATAGAGGTAGTGAACTAATGAATATGTAATTAGAGCTTTCGTTTGCGTTCCCTTAGTTCACAACTGGTATGATTATCATGATTATAACAAATATTCTGGATAATATCCATCATATTAAATAATATATATATATATATATATATATATATATATATATATATATATATATATATATATATATATATATATAGTTTAACAGAATAAAGCACAACCTCATTACCTCACTGACATATTTTAATTCAGATCAAATGAAGAAAACACAACTTTTATAGCATGCATTTGAATAAAGTTTAAATAAAGAGAATGAGGTTGGGCTATATTAACCTTAGATTAAATTTCTTGTTTATATTAAACGTTTTGAAGAAAACCCTCTTTGATCGCACTTGTGTAAATACCTAAGCCAAATTTATCATCCGGGTGACACGTTGAATTACCTGCAATCCTTATATTAGCAATACAATAGCAATGACAAAGCAGGATTACAATGAATAAACTGTGCTGGAAAAAGTCTGTGTTTGGTCAGGTATAACTCAATACGTTTTATCATGTGATGCACTAAATGCCGTGTAAAGAAAGGAACTTTGATATTCTGTCATGGAACCGTGTATGTGTCACTGAAATATGCCTAAACATGAAATTTTATTTGATTGTATCTGACGCGTGCGGAAGCATTTAATTGGGAAATTGTCATGTCACGGTCCATCTGTCAGCAAACTTTAATCGGCAAAATAAGTTACTACAATCGGAAACTTACACTCATGTCCCGATGTCAGTTGGTGAAATGCAATTCATTTTACATACTTAGGAGACTCAATAAATGTCCCAATTATGCAGATTTAAATGGGTTTTGGAAACAAAGCAAATTACAGAGTTGCATTAAATCTAAGTAACTTGAAAAATGTCATCATTGAATTTAGTGTTACACGTGTTAACATGTTATTTAAGTGGATTTCATACATAGTGTTTGTCCGGTCATTTCACTTATTCTATTAGGATCAAGAAATCACGGTTCTATTCTCGGGGAGAATCAGTCCTAAAGATGACAATTCCCAAAACTAATATGTTCTTAAGAGCACTAGACAAAATTACAGAAATCAATATGATCTTCCTTAAAGGTAGAAAGTTGAAAATCATTTGGTGTAATGTCGAATGTAAACCAGAGCATATCGTAACAACATAAAATTGGGCTTTGCATTTACAGACATCTGGGTACTGTGATTACGCATGACAAAATAAGTACAGTGCAGAAATGCAAAGCTCAGGTCTCGCTTTTGGTTACAAGAATTGTCAATATGAAGTCAAACTGAAAACAAGATACAATTCAAGAGGTAGATGCATGTTATGCACTAATTAGACTAATTAAACTAATTAGACTAATTAATAGTCTGGACATTTGTGTATAAAACATTTCGATCAGAGAATAAATGACTCATGTTTCTATTTATACCGTCCTTATACAATGTTCTCAATCTGTCCTGATACAATGTTCTCAATTTCTATGTTGGTTTTACCAGTTACACCGGCATATGCCGGTTTTTGTCAGTAAAGTTAGTCTCTGTGCCGGGAAAAATGAGTAAGTTAGTATTCATTTACAAACTGTGTTTCAGTCTTTCTATTTGAAGAATATAGTCCGTCAGAAGCTGATCTATTCCTTCCACGTAGCTGTAGCCCCACATAAACGAATACTGTGATCAGTGACTGACAACATCACAGCACGATAAGAAGAGACGGATTGTGATGTAGTGTTATATGCATGCAGTATAATTCTGAATCCCTAGCCACATAAAGTGGACAATTTGCATTCAAGGCTAGAGTTTCCACGGTTGTCAAATTACTAAACCATATTATTACTTTGCTGTTACAGCAGGTAAGGGAGCCAAGAAGCTGGTGTCATCATGTGTAGTTGCTGTCAAAGCAATGCCTGAAGTCATCATGTGTAGTTGCTGTCAAAGCAATGCCTGAAGTCATCATGTGTAGTTGCTGTCAAAGCAATGCCTGAAGTCATCATGTGTAGTTGCTGTCAAAGCAATGCCTGAAATCATCTTGTGTAGTTGCTGTTAAACTCAATACCTGAAGTCATCATGTGTAGTTGCTGTCAAAGCAATGCCTGAAGTCATCATGTGTAGTTCCTGTCAAAGCAATGCCTGAAGCCATCGTAGAAATATGCCAACATTTCTTCCATGATGTAATGTGTGACTAATTAAAAAGCAACATAAATTATCCGTGGACCGTTAGAAGATGTCAATATATGTGCATATTTTTAAATTGAGGATCCTAATATAGAAGCTAAAAAGGCCAATGAACCTTAAGGACAGACGAAAGAGACGAGGCATGCAGAATGTTAACACTCTAACAATATAACAACTCCTTCAAGAAAGAGAGCGTGATTTGGATTTTTTAACGTTGCTATAACAATTTATCGGTCATATCGCTACGGTGCCTGCAGTGTGACAGTTTATATTGATGTCATGCACTGGGGCAATATGCCGCAAACATGTAGCATGATATCCAACCCAGTCACATTATCCTGACACAAGGTCAACCAGTCCTAACATTAATGCTGAGCGTCAAGCGAGAAAGCTGTTAGCATCATTTTAAAAGTCTTTGGTATGGCACAGCCGTGGTTCGAACCCGCGACCTCCAGCATCTGAGGCAGACGCTCTAACTACTAGGCCACCGGAGCGATACTACTGCTGAAACTCACACATACTCAAGGAAACCTCGCTCGGTGACGGTCACTCGCCCATTTTGCTAAATTAATGATGATGCCTCCCAATCCTGATTTAACACCAGTGTTTTCGCAATTGGATGATAAAAAACCAATTTCTAAACAAAATGGATATTCTTAATTTCTTCCAGATGTACTTCAAACAAAAAGGAGTATAGTAATTGATGGATCGAACAGATTTGTTAAGAAGAAAATAAATCGCAAAGGTATGGACAATTATAGCAACTTCTTAACTGTTTCATGATAAACCTTTAGAAGAAACGACTCAGAATGTAAAACAATATGTAACAGCAGTCTCAAAAAGAGGTGGCTACATGGATGAATAAAAAGAAGAAGGTTTAATCTCTGCCTGTACAAATACTCTGCCTGTTAAAAAGACACACTTCGAAAATGTGTTGGATCAAAAGGATTATGTGAACACGCTTTTCAGCAGACGAAATGACCAAGAGAACTCAAACAAGAAGCTATTACCCTGTTTAAATATAAATTACTAAATTACGTAAGCACTGCGATCCAAAAAATATTGCACATGAAAAAAGATCATCGGCAGTTGATTAATTTATTTGAGGAACAGTGACATTGATACACTTGTAGCCACCGTTTACTAGAATCATGTTTTTCTGCTGACAACAGAGGAATTCAAACAATATTTCGTGCACTTAAAACCAAACGCAAATGTTTAAGTTTGCAAGACAGTGTTTACAAGAACAATCGAAGTACACAATGCACAAACATAATGGACGAAACGTTCCCAAAAGTGTAAAAAAAAATAAATTTGTAGGCATCGATTTTCAATGTCAAGCGGATTGAGTAGATGTCTCTCACTCGTACAATGTTAAAAATATTTGCTTTGTGCTTTGTGCCTACGACGTGTTTTCACAAATAGGTTAAATATTTACGTTGACTTCTTAAACAAGTTTTGAGTTTGTTCGAGCTTTAAATCTCGTAAAGAGACAAAGGTATTTAAATATTTGACCAAGCCTTTCTAAGCGAAATTAGATTGACACGTATACGATTTCACTACCAATCATCATGAAACAATCATCATGGAACGTTTTAAAAGGACTTTGAACATGTGTGGAAATAATTTACACATCAACATACTGTTAAATACATTGACGTGTTACTATACATCAACATGCTGTTAAATACATCAAAGGTTTACCATACATCACCATACTGTTAAATACATCAAAGATTTGTATACATCAACATACTGTTAAATACATCAACATGTTACCATACATCAGCATACAGTCAAATATATTCATGTGTTACCATATTTGCAATCAGTCACACCATCACATCGTCAAATAAGCTCCAGAAGGAGTTACAGCTCAATACTAAATAATTGTTTCATCAGTTATTTGTTTACAACGTGTAAATAAGGTCAAACAACACGATTCGAAGAAGTGAAAGTTCGTTGGAAAGGATATCTGTCTAGTTTAGATTCTTTTTTATGTATACCTATATTATGTATAAATCTTTGTACATGATTGTATTTATATTAGTTTTAATTTGTGTGGGTTGTTAGAAGAATTAACTTTTTTTCCATTGGATATGCTAGGTCACATGAACAGGTATTTTTTAAAAAAATATTGAGTAGTAAGATCTGTCACGTTGGATATATTGCGACATAAAGTCATAATAGACTCTTGAAGGTGTACAAAGAGAGAGAATTGAGCAATCAAAATTCATTCCACTTTTGGATTAATTCCTATTTCGAATTATTGTTTTATGCATTTTCCAGTAATAACAATATAGCTTTCAGTTCTGTATATTAAATCCCCCCCAAAAGTCCCAGTGTCTTGTCAAACGACAATTTAAAAAATGTGTGATTTTATTTTCAACACGTACATCTGTAGAACATCTTAGTTCGATAGACAGGCACGTTCATTAGATTTTCAATTTTGTCAAATGGTGCTTATTATAAACATGCATATCTTGTGTGAAAAATAGTAACGTTATAGTCGAGTCATGTTGTTTAAATTTTAAATTACAAGAAATCGAAGAGAGACGCACATATGTAGGGCTTGGAAAATAAAGATATTGGTGATTTTCAACAACAAAAAAAATGCGAAATATGATACAAGGAGAGAATCTGGACAGTCCTTGGACAGTTGTTATTGCCTGAAGGTTACACACCACTAGGTACGAACTACGAATGCAAAAAGAATGCATGGATTTAAATATAACTCCATAAACATCATTTGTAATCTCTCGGCTAAAGATGTATATCATCTTGAAATGACAAAATACTCTACCACACAAAGACTGGACTACATACTGCTAGGTTTACAATTTAAGGATATAATCAAATCCCATTACAGGCGATGATTTTTGTCAAAGTTTGCACATACTTTTCCAGACATTAATCATAATAACCGAAATACTTCAAATGAAATGAGTGTAATTATATTTTATATACAATGGCACCACTCCAATGAACTACTGACGCACTATTTTTCAAAGAACTTTTTCAGATAAAACATATTGTGTTATATTAAAAGATCTAAATATAGATATGGATGATAGCATGATTTTACATTGGGTTTAAATGTCTTTTAAAATACAGATGTGCGCTTATTATGCATTCAGCATCATTTGAATGGGCTATATCTGAGTAGTATTCAAAATAAAAGTCGTGAAGTCGTTGAGTAATATCTTTACAGCGAATGCGTTCACCAAAACCAGTTAGCCTATTAACAGTGTTTAGACGTGTCGTGGTATTATCACATAAAGTTAGCGGATTGAGACGTGTCGTGTCGTGGTATTATCACATAACGTTAGCGGATTGAGACGTGTGGTGGTATTATCACATAAGCTTAGCGGATTGAGACGTGTCGTGGTATTATCACATAACGTTAGCAGGGACCATAGTTATAGTTACACGTGCCATTTTCCCACAGAGTGCTACAAAAGAGTGACTTCATTCCACTTTCCTTTGATGATGCCTATACAGAATTGATTGTTTGCAGAATGAAATGAAATCATTGCATACATATTGTACACATATTTATACGTTAGAGTTTGAAAAGTTAGTTTATGTCAACATTTATAGGTACGTATCGTTTCACCGTACACCCACGCGGTAAATTCCTTACTTTACTGAGTTCCGTACTTCATCATCCGTGTTTCCGGTGTTAGCGATGTAAAAAAAGAGATCGTTTTCAATAGCCGTTGTTAAAGTTGAGGTACATTTATTCTTACGGTCACGCGTACTACGTCTTCTTATTTTAAATACAGTGCCTAAATTGGTGAAGACTAAGAATATATATACTCATCTTCTTTGTTGGTCATTGCTACGATGTAAGCAAGATTAATGTGCACCAGGATTTTGCCATTCTAACTTCCGATTGAAGATTATAAATGTTTTAATTTTTTCTACATAGACGCATACAAACGTACATTCGCAGTCTTGGTTATGTATCATTTCAAATAGAAAATGTATCTAAAGTCTTTGACCTGTATCGCTTTTGTAAAGACATGCGTTCATAGCATTCATATCTGTGGCAGCATAGCTTTTTTGGTCCAGGTTTTGTACCGACATGCTTTTACAGTCTGTCACCGTATCACATTCACTTAAATATACATTCTCAGCTTTTGGTAGGTAGGGCTTTTGAACAGACATACATTTATTCAGTCTGAGACCAGTATCAAATTTGCTTGAACGAAATAAATCTATATGAACACTTTTCTTTAAGATTAATAAATATTTATTAAGATTAATACATTTATATTCGTTTCGTTGAAGAAATATACGTCAACTTAATCCCATTTCGGCATTCCCGGCTTTCATCGCATTCCAGCTAACTGAAATGGAAGCTAACGGAAAACTGCAAGTAAATCCATTTGTTTGTAGATAATTTGAATTAATTAGGAAAAAAGACTTCAGACTATGTAAAGTCTGACTAAAAGTTATGACATTAATTTGTTAAAAAACGTATGTATGGGTTACCATGTGTGAGATATTCCTGAAAAGTCGACTTCTTATTCCGATATTACTCGACATCAGAACACCCTACACAGTGCCGTTATTTAGGTGGTACAACCTCGAACACCAAATATACATTTCAGATTCGATATTTTACACTGTATGATAAGACTGACAAATATTGCGAATAATATTGAAAAGAAATTAAGTCAACGAAAGCAGCATGACGAATAAACCATAATAGGCATCAACCGGTCTAGAATGTGTCATCATTGATATGTGTATATGCGATTATGATCATTGCCAAGGCAAATTTCTTAATGTAACTGTAAACCCAATGAAATATATATATATATATATATATATATATATATATATATATATATATATATATATATATATATATATATATATATATATATATATGTATATATATGTATATATATATATATATATATATATATATATATATATATATATATATATATATATATATATATATATATATATATATATATATATATATATATATATATATATATATATATATATATATATATATATATATATATATATATATATATATATATATATATATAACCAACATAAAGTAAACTCTCCTGAAAAATCCACTTCAATATCAAAATTGTCACAACGACTGATATTTAATTTAATATAAAGTTTATTGTGACAGTTTTATTAGATCAGATGGTACTTTTAGTTAAAAACTGTCATTAATTCTCTTAGATGTGTTTTAAAAGCTATCTTTGAATGATATTATCTCAACGAGAAACGTTTTGCATGGCTTAATATATGCAAAGAGAATATTATTTAAAGTCGTTTTATCAAATGTTCAAATTTTAGTTTTCACATAAAACCCATATATACCCCCATTAGAATGTTCGTGTACACTGCAAAACAAACACAGATTCATTTACATCTTTTTTTCTATTTCCAATCTCAAAGAAAGGAGAAATCTTATGATGACAGTCAAAACTAACCTGTCATGATATAAAATCTT